AAACTTTTTAGCAGGGCCTGTTGCGACAGGACAAGGGGGGATGGCTTTAAACTAAAAGGGGGTAGATTTAGACTAGATCTAAGGAAGAAATTTTTTACGCTGAGGGTGGTGAAACACTGGCACAGGTTGCCCAGAGAGGTAGTGGATTCCCCATCCCTGGAAACATTCAAGGCCAGGTTGGACGGGGCTCTGAGCAACCTGATGTAGTGGAAGATGTCCCTGCCCCTGGCAGGGGGGTTGGACTAGATGACCTTTAAAGGTCCCTTCCAACCCAAACTATTCTATGTTTCTATGATTTAATCCACTTTTAACATAAATTCAAATAACGGAGTACCCTGTCATGTTATGTAGTTGGCTTTGCTGCCTGATGGCTAGAGCACTCGGCTGCCTTCAGAGTGGGCTCTGGTCCCAGCGCACAGGATGCTTTCAGTGTTTGCACTGGGCAGCCACGCATGGGGAGGATAACAGAGCTGCCCGGTGGGTCCCCCAGCCACTGGGCTGCTCCTCTGGCTGCTTGCTGCTCCACCTGGCACAGCTGGCGGAACGGCAGCCGAATTCACCCTCTTTTTTCTTTTTACCCTGCAGCTTTGTGTAGCAGGGTACTCTTTGACAGTGGGGAGGTATTGATTAAATTCCTCTTGAGGTGAGGAGGCTGGTGAACCCAGGTCTGCCCCCTCGCAGATGTGTGCCCCAGCCAGGGGAGGTAAGGCAGCAGCAGAGGGGGGTGAGGCAGCCCCAGATTTAATAGTGCCCCGTGATGACTCTTTTCTTTGCCATCCTGATCTAAAAGGTCACCATCACAAGCGGGATTCAATCACCCCAAATAATCCATTAAAAACATAATCTTTCAAATCTCTTTTGCTGACTGAACTTCATTTAAATGAAATTCTTATTCTCTATCGGATGATCAATTCTTTTTTTTTTTTTTACACTTACACCCACCCATTCCTCCCCTAAAACCCTCCAGCCAGCTGATTCTCCTAGCTGTGTCCCTGCTATTTCCCTGTGCTCCTGACACCTGTGTGCCCACAAGCCTTACTGGGTTTGCACAAGTGCAGATGGTGAGGAGATGGGCTCAGCCTCTGGGGTGTAAGCTTTGCTGGCGTTCGGGAGCTCGGACTTGCTGCATGGTATTTTTGGCAATGCATTAAGGAGAGAGAGTGCTATGCGTGTAAGGAGCACATATTTTGGGTAAGGTGTTATTTTAACAGGCAAATTTTCTGAAACAGACCCAAGTTTTAAAGTTGTCATTATTAAAATAATATATATTAATAATAATAATATAATTATTAGCAGAATATAGAAATTTACTGTTCTATTAGATGTGGCAGGAAATATAATCTGTGTGTATGCGCCCTGTTTTTTCTTGCAAATATGTGGCTTAAACTAGGTAATTAAAAATCCAGAAGAATGGTCGTAAACCAGGTTTGAACTAAATGAATGGCACAGGTTTAATTCATGCAGAAGCCTTGCAAAGTTGTTAATGTCTTTGGGGTAAAATCCTGGCTCTGCTTTAAAATCCGTAGCAAAGCTTCCCATGTCTTAAGGTCAAGACTTACTATACTGTACTCTCTATACTGATGCTCTGAAGTGTCCTTGTCTGTGGGAGATGTGGTTTCAAGACACCCCTTCTCAGGCCCGTATGTGGTTTGTCTGGTTTACCTTTACCTCTACGGAGGATTCCGTGCATAGAAATGTAAACGGTGGTGAGATGGTTGAATAACAGTTTTAAGCTGCTAGGTAAAGTACAGTAATTATCATATTTGGCCAGACATAGATTGTAAGATGGTTTGAGCTGATCCGTTTTTGAGGCAGTGAGTCCTTCCGTAGTGACTCAGCTGACTCAGGACAAAAGCAACCTTTTAGCACATTTCTGAACAATCATTCTGCATTGTAAGCTTGTTGACTTTCTAGTTTGTTGCCAAGTACAGCATAGCCAATGAGTGTTAGTTTTCAAGTTTGAGCCACTCTTACTCATGTATGCAGGCTTAGTGTTGACAGAAGTACAAGTGGAATACCAAGCACCAATTACTGTGGTGTTTTTACTGTCATCACTAAAATATTTTTTTTGCAGGTTCTTCGGAAACTGTTTGCCTTTGGGTTTGACAATACTAATCAGGAGCTTTATCAAACAGTAGCTGTCATCTTAAAGCTAATTTGTTTGTCAGAAGCTTCAAGGTTCATGCTATTCAGTGTATGATATATGAATAGTGTCCAGATATTTCCAAGAACCAGTTTTACATGCTTCTGAATAGGCAATGTGCAGTATGTGTTTGGTTAATATGTGGATGCAATTGCCCCAAATCCAGAACAGAGCAATGGTCTGGATTGTGGTGTGACTCGGGGTCTGACCCTGAAGAGGACCAAAGGATGCTTAGCTCTCAGGGCACAGATACGGGCTTCTCAGACTGGTTGTCTTAAGTGGATTTCTGATGTGTTAGGTACAGGTATTTTAAATACATACCACACCCAGTCACAGAACTAAATCTGAATTTCTTTATTGGCTATGAAGAAGTGCATGCAGTTCATCTGTTATGTGTTTTGGGTATATATTTATGGTTTTGTGCAGTGTGTTTAAAAACCAACCAACCAAAAACCACATTAGTTGCGGAGGGAGGGGGTTAGAAAGGAAGAAGATTCTTAAATAAACAAGTTAATTTGATATGCCTTTCCAAAGAGGCTGGATTTTATTTATATGTCCAGCTTGGCTACTGGTACTTCTATTTTATTTTTTTCCAAGTGACTTGCAACAGAAAAGAGATTTAGCCAAGTTGTTAAGAAGAATATTTTCTTAGAGATGATCAACGTTTAACATATGTGACAAAGGAACAAGTGTAGCTTTACTTGTACATGTTACTGTTTGTGTTGCTAACAGGACAAAGCAGAAGGTGCTGGAGCTCTCCCTTTAGAGCCAGAATGAACTTGCATTAATATGCACCTGTATTTTCTGCTCTGGTATTATTTTTCCAAAAGTCCTCATCTATGAACATGGTTAATTACCTAGAGTGTTAAGAAAGAACAGCTGTGCTATAGAAAGTGACTGTTGTTCTGGTGCCTAATACATGTGGTAGCTGCGGATTCTTAAGATAATCCAATTAAATGTAACAATGAGTCAGAGTCAAAAGATATTGTTTACTTAGCGAGTTGACTTCAAGTATGTGAGTAGCTGAAGTTTGCTGCTCATAATATCCTACTTAAAGGTAACATGCAGAGATAATTGGGGCTTGTAAAAACTTGTTGAGAAGTTCTGTGTTTAACGGGAGGGTTAATAGTGCCAGCATAAAAGTAAGGAGTAATATTACCTGGCATAGGTGGCTATCCCTCTTATCACTCTTCCTAGACAAAATATTTTAATAATTTCCTTTCCTTGAATATCTGTATCACTGGTACACACATGTATTGATCTTACATTGTTATTTAAAAAGAATCTGTATTGCTAAGCAAATGCTTCAGTTATTAACTCAGATTCTGAAAAAAAACCAAACCAAAAGCATCACTGTTAGATAGCATTGATCATTGCTTGTCAGTTAAAGTATTACTGAAAAATCTGAAATACAAAAATCTCAGAAGTTTCTTCAGTGACAGAAACAAGCTATGTGTTTAGCACAACCATACTGCCCATTAGCTTTTCTTCCCATTGGAAAGGCATGCGTTTTATACATTTTTTTTTTTTTTAACATTACAGGAGTTTGAAGATGATTATGCTGAATATAAAGCCAAAACCGTGGATCTTGACAGACGTCTTGCCTCAGTTCTTTGTGTAGCATTTCATGACTCTTCAGGGTTAGAATCCATGTTCAAGGTCAGTACCCATACACATAAACTGTTCTTCATTTATTATTAAAAAAACAGGTTTATGCATTGCTTAATATACTTTACATCTAGGTCATCTATTTGTGAATTGAATGCCGTGGAATACTGACTAACAGAAAATATTTTGGCAATACATTCTTTTGAAATAAATGTAATTTTGTGGTGTATTTCAGCTGCAGACTCAAACTGAGTTCTTTGATTCTATTCTCATTTTAATGATATTCGGAATACAGGTTCTTTCCAGAAGTTAACCCATAGCTAAGGCCAGATCTAAAACGTAATTCAAAGAAACGGAGAGGTTCCTCGCTCACTATCATTCTGTATTTGCATTTGACTGCACAAGGCATGGAGAATCTCATGGATGCCAGATGCATCCAGGCTCTCCATCCTGTGCAGCATATAGTTAGCCTGGGGAGTTGGAGTGTGTTTCTGCAGTGGTATCTATTATTCTTAAGCAGGAATAATTAAAATGTAGGACAGAGAACAACTGGTTAGAAACAGTTCTTCAAAATACAATTTAGGAGTTGTCATATGTAGAGCCTGAGTCAATGATGTCATGTTATTAAGAAAGAAGTAAGTATGTAAGATGTTCAAACGGGTAATTGTCCTGAAAGGCACAAGGAGCAATCTTTCATTTTAATGACCCTTGATAAGGCCTCCAATGGAGTTTTGTGCCCAGGTATAAGCGTTACACTTCAGGAGAGAGGATGTGTTGATGGTTATAGAGGCTGAAGAAGAAAAGACAGAAAACGGGCATAAATCTTCAAATACGTTAAAGGCTTCTGCATACAGGAAGGAAATACTCTGTTCTCTACATCCAGAACATAATGAACTTAATTTAAAGTGCAGAAGGTTCAAGTCTGATGACTGGGAAAACCACTTTATGCCAAGCGTAATGAATTGCTAGAATAGATTGCTAGGGGAGGTCACGGGCTCTTCATTATTGAAAAATCTTTCAGGGAGGGCTAGAAAAAGGTCTCTTGGAAATGGCATAGGTATAGCAGACCTTGTCTTGGGGCAGGAACAAAGACCAATTGCTCTTGAAGTCCCTTTTAGACATACATTTCTATGACATTGTGTCAAAGTGTTGCAAATCAGTGGTGGTAAGTATAAGGTAGTAATAATTAATACCTAACTACCAAATTTTGAGTAAATGAATTTTCCTGAGGTTGTCACTTTTGGCATCGTTAGCAGTTAAATGAGTATCTTGCATTTAATGGTGGTGTTTATTCTGTTTCTTTCCAAACTTACTTTCTCACTGAATTCAGATAATATGTACAGTATTAAATCTACTCTTTCAAAAGGCAGATAACTTGTCTTAACTTTAAACGTAGCAAGGAGAATGGAAGATGACAACCTCAGAGAAGTCACTTCTGCTTGCCTCTTGTTTGGTAATTTTTTACAGCAGTAGGCTTTTTTTTTTCCCTAAAAAAACATGAACATACAATTAAGACTGAATTTGTGTGAGACACTGGAGGAAGAGGCTAGTAATTTAGGAGAAAGAATATATCTGGAAAAAGGGGAGAAAACACACAGGTTAGAAATGTGCAGGGTAGGATTTAGAAAGTATCTAGAGTGTGGGGTGTATGTCTGGATCTGGAAATCCTAGTTCCATACTTTCTAGGATCTAAGCTAACCTGTCGTCCTTTAGCATTATAGAATTCATCTGTTTAGCACAATTTAAGAGTGTATTTGGAAATATGTGGTCTGCTTATCAGCACATGGCACATACCAATAGTGTAGCTTGGTACAGTTCCAGTCCTTGTACTTCAGAAGCATTTTGGATGACATTGCAAGTTGAGAGAAGAATATTACAGAAGGAGAACTCTAATGCTTACTTTGCTGTTTGTTTTCTTTTTTTTCTTTCTTTATTTTCTTGATAAGCTCTTAACTCTCTTTGGAAGCTTTCTAAAAAAAACCTGTCATCGTGGAGATATTTAGCCCAAATTGCAATATTTTATTGGAAACATTTTATGAAGAACTGGATAAATGCAGACATATATGTGATGAACTGTTGTGGTTTCACCTCAGCCGGCAACTGAGCACCACACAGCTCATTCCCCCCCACCTTGG